CTCCCGCAGGAAAAGGATGGAAAGTCGTCGCAGCCATTGAAGCTCCTCCTCCTGTCGCGCCAATTGCACCACATCATGATCCAGTTGCGGGGCCCCCCTTGATGGCCCCATCAGACCGTTCGTGGACATGCGACGGGCGAGGCCGCCATCATCCCCGCCGGCATCGGGCAGCCCACTGACTTGGCTCTCGAACATGGTCGCCTCGTAGCGTAGTCGCGTCTGGTGCACCATGTTGCGGATAAGGCGCGCATGGGTTCGAGAGCGGCGCACACTCTCGCTGAAGACCTCCATCTGGTTGGTGCGGTGCTCGGGGCTCATGAAGCGGTTCTCGTGCACCCGCTCGATGTCCTCGTCGATGGCCAGCAGTGCGGTGTGGGCCAGCTCTCGCTCCTGCTCGGATCTCATCAGCCGTGCGAGGGAGACGTATCCGCGGCGCAGCTCCATCAGGACATCCAGGACCATCAGCATCGAAGCGTCCTTTTCCGATGCACTCTCCCGAGCGCCCGTTCCGCGGCTGGTGCTGGGCCTCGACTCATCCTCCTGCTGTTCATTGGCGGCCATTGTACTTCCTGCTATCGAAAGAAAGTGCGGAAAATTTTGAATTTAGTATTGGGTTCCGGAACAGATATGTTTTTGGTATTTTGTATTGTTTGCAAGGACAGGCTCTGGTGATATGTATACTCTGACAGACGGACTGACTGTTAGATCATATACGACTACTTGGATGCTAAATGGATATATTATTTAAAGGTGCTTCAAAGTAACGTTGGGCTTTCTAATAAGCCCCAAATCATCAATAGTTATCTCCCTTTGCTACGTTAAATAACACTTTAATAGGAGGCTGGTTTGATACGATACATAAGCCGTGCACAATTGTGTCGTCACCATTAGAAATTGAGCCAGTTGGACTGCGGGTAGGGTATCCTACGCTGTTCAAATTATGGTCTAAAGACATGGTGACAGCCTCTAATAATTGCGATGGAAGATGATACTAACATTATTCAACAAAATCTCCATTTATAGAGATTATAAGAGGGAAAAAAAAGTGCTGAGTGTGAAAGAATACGCCACAATATAATTGGAATAATATGGACTTAATATTATATTATTGTTTGGTATGTGGTTGGGCAATAGTGATGATCAGCAATTGGCCCAGTGTTTTTTTCCCTCTGAGGAACGATCGCATTTTCAGCAGAATTCTCTGCAGTGGCAATTAGGATTGACCCAGCTAGAGTTCTGTGTAGTGAGGTTTCCCTGTAAATGGGTAAACTTTGTTTATTCGATATAAATGTTATGTGTATTTCTTAGAAAAAAACTGCAATAAACCTGTCAACCTGTCATCTCAAACAGCTTGGTGCACACAAAACCGTAACGCTAGGGTGTTTACCGGGCTGAGAGGCAAACGAAAAGGCTAATTTCCTCGCCAAGAAAAGATAAAATAAACCATGAATCGACACCGCTTTGATCGGACTTAGATCGGAAATTATCGCTAAATAGGACGACAAAGAGAATGCCCCGCACTATATTTAAGGAGATCTCAACATTTTGTGGGAGCAACTGCGACCCCCTCACAGGGTTTAGGAAATGATACCCAGCAAAGTGCTAAATTTGATTAAAATCCCAAATATATTGGGCACATAATCATAGACCTAACCCTACATATATTTATATATACATGTATGTACATATACTGCAATACATCCTTTAAAAAAAAATAAAAATAAAAAAAAAAATAAAAATAATGGAAAAATTGTGGCCACCCCTACTTAAGTTTTTGCAGACAAGAGATATATCTAACAATTGTCAAGTGTGTATTTTAACTAAAAATTATTTTTGTTCAAATACTAAAGAGATCAAAATCTCTGCTTATTTATGCGAAAAACAAATTTTTTCAGATGCGTAAATTGTAAAGTTCTATAATTCGATGTGAATCATTAGAAAAGGTAAGTTCTATGAATATTTTGACAGTAAAGTTATTATATTTTGTGATTCAATACCGATAGCCAACACAATGTACGTAACCTCAATTTTTTCGGAAAGTTTTAAAATCACTTCCGAATTCGGGTGTGGCCACCACTTTTTTTGACAAATACATCAAAATAATGTAGCAGTGCTATCTTCTAGTGACACTACACTCGTACATATACTATTAGTTCTTAAGCCCACTGTAATTGCTTCAAAGGTGACTATGTTGAAACCGTTGAGCTTTCATACTCAATGGCTGCCAGCGAGAATGAAATGGACGAGGACGAGCGTCACCCAATCGTGGTATATCCAGATCCGACTTTGCCACGTCAAAGAAGCCCCAATGAAGTCAGAGCCATCTACTTCTTCAGTTTCCTCTCTTCAGCTTCCATTTTAGATCAAATCGGTCCTTGCATAGTGTCACCCCAAATAAACCATTTACTCACGGACGTAAGCCAATCAAAGCAAACGTGCTAACTAAAAAATAAAGCACAGCAGCGTGAAGAAAACAAAAACGGCCAAGGAAGCGAAAAAAGAATCCAAGGCGGCAATAGGTATAGGTTTTATGTTATGGTCACAAGCTATGAGCTAAAAACAAAGCGCTGACCACACCCGAACCACTTTCCATAATAATAATAAAAACGAGGGGGAACGTTGTGAGTTGCTGCGGACACCGCAACTCTACAGTTATACCCGATACTAAGTCAGTATGGCTCTCCTCCGGCAGACGCCGCTAATATTTAACGACACGACAAAGAGTGCGTGCGAGAGAGACAGAAAATCAGTCTGAGCGTGACGTCGGGCGCTGCGTAGCCACTGCAAATTGATTTGTTCCTTTTGGATAAAAAAATGGTCTGATCTGATCCAGATTCAGCAATCTAATAGATATGGTCATTATCTATGATTCTGCGTTTTTAGTTTTCTCGAATCTGCAATATTGTGGATGCAACAGATTTTCGTCCTTTGTGGGGGCGGATGGGGGTGGGGCGAAATTCTGAGATATACGTTTTATAGTGACATCTTAAAGGAGTGTGTGCACCAAATTTGGTTACTCTAGCCTTAATAGTCTCTGAGATTTGTGGTTGCCTCAGATTTTCGTCCTTTGCGGGGGCGGAAGGGGGTGTGGCGAAATTTGGACAGGAAACGGTCAAGGTCCGATATCACAGGAGTGTGGATACCAAATTTGGTTGCTCTGGCTTTTATAGGTTCTGAGATCCTTGAACTCATATTTTGCAATTGGCAAAACCGACCATGAAACCTGTGTGTTAGAGTGAGACAGAGCGAGAAAGAGTGAAATTGTTTTCGTGATTCTGGCTGTAATAATTATACGATCTGGTTCAGATTTTGCACTCTGGAAAATATAGTCATCTTCTACGATTCTGCGTTTTTATTTTTTTTGTATCATCGAAATTGTGGATGCCACAGATTTTCGCCTTTTGTGGGGGCGGAAGTGGGCGGGGCGAAGTTTTGAAATATTTTTGTAGCAGTGACATATAACAGAATTCTGGATCCAAAACATCGTTGCTCTAGCTCTTATAGTCTTTGAGCACTAGGCGCTGAAGGGGACGGACAGACGGACGGACGGAGAGACGGACGGACGGACAGACAGACAGGGCTCAATCGACTCGGCTATTGATGCTGATCAAGAATAAATATTACTTTATGGGGTCGGAAACGATTCTTTCTGGACGTTACACACATCCACTTTTACCACAAATCTAATATACCCCAATATTCATTTTGAGTATCGGGTATAATAAATAGTCATTGTTGGGTTACGCAGCCCGATATAACCCAGTAATACATAGTCAGTGGTGCAGAAGTAGAGTAAATCCTATTATTGTTCGTTATTTTTGTTCACTACCCGCTGTACCACATTGTAATCTACTGGTCAAAACAGTAAACTAATAGCTATCGTGCTTCTCTGTTATGAAATAGCTCGAATGTTTTCGACTGCATGGCTGCCAAAAGTTTATATATTAAAAGGTACCAGTCTTGGCACAAATTGAAATACAAAATTCAAGCGGAGAACCCTCTTTATTTAATTCGAAACTTACATTTTTTTTGGATGGTCATTTTTGATCTGGTAAAAATTAAATTAAATCAAATTAAGTCACTGGTGTTATTGAACGATTTTAAGCATTTTCGTTATCTGCTCTTGGTAAGAAAACTAAAAGTAAATTGAATTTTTATACACGATACCCAAAATGCGTATATGGTATGAGTAGGGGTATGTTAGATTTGTGGTGAAGGTGGATGTGTTTTAGTTTATGAACTAACGTTCAGAAGGATGCGTGTGAGTCCTGGCTCAATCGACTCCGCTATTGATGCTGATGAAGAATATATTTAATTCAAGGGGTCGGAAACGCTTTCTTGTCTGCGTTACACACATCAATTTTCCGCTAAAACTAATATACCACTGTACTTGTTTTGAATAGCGGGTATACAAATCATCGCCTCAGTAGCTTAACAGTACCTAATATAATAGCTAAAATATTTAAAGAACGTTAATATTAAAGTATTTATTTTGTTTATCTGCTGCAAAGATTATCGATTCATAAACTAACATTTGGAACTAGAAAATTAAACTTTAAGTAAATGAACTAATATCCCTTAGCTATAGGCTCAAACAACATACTGGGGGCCAGTACATTTTGCGAAATCTTCATTATGGCATATGCTATTATTTGAAGCATTTGTCATTGGTTTCTTGATGTTTTATAATTTTCTATCACTATGTAGTGATGAGTTATGTCTAGGAGAGCCCTTTTCCAAAAACACAAATTGACTGTTTTACATATCTATAATAATAATATGAACCTAAAGTAGATACTTTTCAAGCCTACACGTAATTGGTTTGGACTTCCCATCGATTGCTCGTATACTTCTTCTCTAATTGTTTACTTTTTACGCAGAAATAAATTTTTAAGAGAAAAGCTTACAAGAGTTTTCATCAGTTCTGGGCTTGGTGCCTTTTTAATTCAGAATACATTTGAAGATAAAGTACTGATAGTATATATATTATAAATCCATACTATCTTATATGACCAATCTGCTTTCTGCTTTTTCAGAATTTTCTTCATAGAAACAGTACAAATGCCTCTTATAAAACATAACCTCAATCTGTTTTTATAGCCTTATTTATACATTTATTTATTATATCCAACAGTTGTGCGCTATTTTTTACTGGAGGCTGCCTGGCAACAGAGGGTCATAGCTGCTATGTATATCAAAGGGTTCGTCCCTTCGGCTGCTGCTGTTCGTCCTCCTCCTCTTCCTTTTCAGTCGATTTTTCGGAGACCGGCGGGAGTTGCTCTCTCTCTCTCTCTTTCGTCAGGTGCAGGCAATTAAAAATGTATTGAAAATTGATTTTTATGCGACGGGCCATCCCTGATGCCCATCTGCAAACTGCTGCAGTAGTCGGTGGCCGTTGGCATTCCCAGTGGTCATCACTGTCCCCGATTGTCAACGTTGTCTGCGTTGGCCAGACATCTACCTGCTCCTGCTCTTGTTTCTCCCACTGCTCTTGCTGCCGATTTAATTGCAACGTTTAAAAATTTCCTTAATTTTGCGCCGTGACTTTGTTCTGCACTGTTTGCCTGGCCGCACTCCTGTTGCCTCCTGTTTCTCGGTCCCTGCCCCTGTTTCCTGTTCAGCGTCTACCCCGACGCGACTCCACGGCGGCCTTCCTGAACCGATTGTGCGAGCCGGCACCAAACTGTTTGCCAGCAGCCAGAAGGGCCGTGGAGCCGGCCACCTCGTCCTTCTCGGGCAGATGGGCTACATGAAGAATGTCGTAGAGCAGCTTGCCGCACTCCTGCGACTGCAGCATCTCGGACAGCTCCGTCTGGGTGCGCAGAAGCAGTTGGCGCAGGCTGCCGCCCTTCCGTAGCAGGCCGTGCACGTTGCGCGTGTGGACGCCGGGCAGACGGAGCAGGAAGTCGTGTATGCCGCTGTTATACTGCAGCTGCTCGCCGGCCACGGGTTCCTCGCTGCCCAGAGCCACGGCCTGGCAGGGGTCCGGCTCCGGCTTGCCCAGCTTCAGCTCCTCAAACAGCTGGGCCGTAGCGTACGGACTGGGCGACCAGATGAGACGCAGCCGGGGAAAGTGCAGTGTGAGCAGCTGCAGCTTTTGCACAATGTCCGCATTGGTGGCCGCCGTCTGCTGCGATAACATGAACTTGCCCTGCAGGTGGAAGGGCTTGTTCTGGTCGAATTCAATGAGCAGTATGGGCTTGGCATAGTGACGCTGCATCTGGACGCACTGATTGTACAGCCGCCCCGAGTTGAGGGACCCAATCAGATCTGAGATTGACTTGCGCTCCACGCACACCTCCGGCGTCAGTATATAGTCCCCGATGGAAATGGTCAGGGGCAGTACCTCTAGCCCCCGCTTGTGGATGAGGCATGGCAGGTCCGATCGGAACTCTCGCATGTCCACAATCACCTTGGGCGTCTCCTTCTGCCTCTGAGGCTGTTTCTGACCGCCGGCTTGCCGACTCTGGGCATTGTCCCCTGGCTCGTCATCGTAGCTCTTGTACAACACAAAAGCCTCGTCCGTCTTGCCGTCCTGATACTCTGGCACAACCATTTTCTGTAAAGAAATGTACACAGTTTAGTGGAAATAAAAATAAAAAAATAAAGGATCTACGAGGGCTGCTTTTTTGGCCTTATTGGGATCCAATATTCATGTGCACTAAACATTTTTGTATTTTCTGCGATAACTCTACTGTTTGGCCTAGCGCCTTCCCATGATCAACAACAAATGGTAATGTTAAAACTCTTTCGATAGAGAAAAGTATGAGTTTTTTGAGAATTTAGAAAACTAACCTGCAAATACGGATTGTACTGTAATACCATATTCCGAGCTCTTACACATCAGCCCTCTCAAAAGATTTTGTAACCACTCAAATTATCGAATCATGCCGCCATCTGCCTTTCAGATATTTCATTACTTCTAATGGGATCTTTTTTTCCAGCTATTAAACAAAAACTGAGTGGTCAAAGTTTTTCTACACCTTCTGTGTGACTAAGTGTAAAATGGGTATCCGTCTTCTTGGAGAATATTGCTTTAGGCCCGTTCGTTTTTTCATAGTTAGGCCAGAAACTTAAGAGCATCTACGTAAGCTTGACTTAGGTATGCATGCAAGCTTTATCGTTGGCCTTTCGTCTGCATCAAACTCCAAATGTAAAGCTAATATGAAAAGCCGGCAGTTTAAAATATATCAAATACTTGAAGAAGCTCGGAAACAAAACTATACAGTTTATGGGGCCATTCCTAAGACCAGAAACAGTAAATGAAGTTATAGGACACATTTTATTGACGATGGGCAGAACAGAACAGAAAGAACAGCTTGCACTTGTACCACAAGATGAGTCTCCCAAGGATCAAACTACTTTCAAACTTGGTAATATATAACATATTAGCTTCGTTATACGGGGAATACAGATTATACGGGAATACAAATTTGAAAAACCAATGCCATCAAAAATATCTAAAAGAAGCTACAGCAAGGTTGAGTACAAGAATGTCAGCAAATATTAAAAATGGCCAAGCTTCGGTACAAAACAAGGCAACTGTAGACCCAGTGGACATGCATGAATTGAATGTACATTTTTAAATGCAAGACCCAAAATAAAATCAAACCAAAATAAAAATCAAACCCCAAGTTCGAACGCTAATAATTGTAATTCACACGGGTGCAGAATTTTGCATTATTAATGAAAACGTAAGCAATCGAAAATGGAGAACAGAAATTGAAATTGAGGTCAGAGCGCAAGGAAATATAATAAACAAATTATTTACTACAATATACATATGTACATACATGAATGTAGATTTCCATGTTTTGAAATATTTAACTTATACAACACATTCCCACAAAAATAAAAAGTGCCGTGCGCGACTGACCAGAGTATCATATCCTTATGTATTTTGGGGCCCTGAACGTCAGGTTTTTTTTCCAAAACCTCAAAAAATCAATGTGGAAACTCATTTGAAAAATTCATAGGATTTGCTTGAAACTCGTGACCGGGGGGTTTTTGAGGGTCGCTGATGAAGATTTCTCTGGGGATTAATTAACTTCTTTACGAGCCAAGACGACGACTCGGAAACAATACATAGCTCAGAATCCGAAGATCGCAACTGTATTAAAATTACAGGAAAAAGCTCAAAATATTTTCAAAATACACATAATACTAAAAGCCGGAAACAACGAATCATGAATCACCCTAATTTTTACTAATACCCTAATTAAAAAAAAAAATACAACTGCAGTGCGTGTAATTAAGCTAAATTTGAGCACCAAATGTTATTATTTATTTCATTTTGTATCCGAAAAAAAATAGTATGTTCAAAAATTTGTTGTCAATAAGAATAACACAATTTAATGGTTCGAAATACACTTTGTTATTCAGTAAGCCCATACAGTAAGCCTAAGTTCCAACGAGATTCCAATTTATGAATTTATGAAAATACGCTTCCACATCTGTTATGACCTCATCAGTTGATGAAAACCGCTTTCCAAGCAGGAATTTTATTTAGGTTTGGAAACAGATAAAAGTCGCTAGGAGCCAAGTCTGGTCAATACGAGGAATGCTCCAGCATTTCAAACTTTAATTTATAGATTTAAGCCATTGTCAAAATGATTTTGTGACACGGTGGATTGTCCCGATGAAAAATAATTTGTTCAGCTGGTCTAAAAGGATACAGCCAAAATTTTTCTTACACTGCCCAATGAGCTGCCAAGGGCTTCTACTAAATCTCTTTCAGTCACTCGATAATTCTTCAATACGATATCCTGTATTTTTTCTACAATTTCTGGTGTTGTTGCTGATTTTGTACGTACTTAACGTGCGTAGTCTTTAAGGCTTGTTTAATTAAATTAAATTAATTAAATTAAATTAAGTTAAATTAATTGAAGGCAAAGAGTCTTTATAAACCTTCAATATTCATAAATTTTCTTTGCTTTTAAAATTTAATTTAATTTTGCTAAATGATTTAAAAAAAATGAAATGACAGATTGAAATGAAACTTCACATATGTACGTTCATATGAAATATGCAAATTAGGCTAGTCGCAACGCCCTCTCTTATCAAACCGCACAACTTATTGGACATCCTTGTATCTTACAATTCATTAATTAAGTAAACACGCCACAGATCGTGGATATTAAACTTATGAATTCTACAGCTGTTAAGTCTGGCAAATACCAAAATACAGATCCATTCACAAATCTTACAATAACACAATCCATAGCCCTACCAATACCAGGCCAAAAGATCTGTTAAACATTTTACTTTTTTCTGACGATATTTCGCAGTTACATACATATAATTTTATAAGGGGGGAAACGCTTCCATCTGGGCGTTACCCACATCCGCTTTCACCACAAATATAATATACTCCGATACTAGAAGAAAGATTTGCAAAATTATTCTTCCATTATAAGGATGATCTTGCTTAGCCATAAACCTGGAGCTAAGGTCGATTTTGGGCAACTACACGTCAACACGGGACAAAAATATAAGTTGTCTTTCGTGGCGATCAATTCAAACTCAGGTTTCAGTGAAATTTGAGGCAATATATTGATGAAAAGTCCTGGTAAATGTTGTGCATTGATACCCATAACTACCAGATTTCCGAATTTGGCTTAGATCGGATCATTATTATAGCCAGAAGGAACAAATGAAATTGCAGTGGCTACGCAACGCCTTCCCCGATCTTACTCATTCTCTCACTCACTCGTTAACGTGCAGAGTGCATCCTCTTGCGGAGATGAGGCATACTCACTGAGTATCGGGTATAAATGTAGAGCCGCGGCCCTAGCCGCAGCTCACAACGTTCCCGCTCGTTTCCACTTGCAATGTGTACGCTTGTACGATTGGGTGGACTTTAATCTGCGACCTTTAGATGGCAGCAATCCCTGGGAAAAGTGGGACATTTAAAAATCCAACATTACTTGAATTAATTTCCTTAGCCTCTGGTATGACTACGTAAAAAAAATTAAGTATCCAATCAAAAGTTGTAACATTTTTGGGCTAGTCCTTTAGGGATCTGTGGCTTTTCTCATTTTGTGTTTTACTCACGCTCTTGGTTTCGATGATTAGCTCGAACGCGGCCTTCTCTCGCCTTAGGCTTGTCAGATATGACTGCTCCTCGACTGTCCGTGCATGGATCAGAAAGTAGACCTTCATCCGTTCGGCGGGTGGCAGGCAGCGACGCGCCTCGAACACTTCCAACTGGCGTATGGCCGTCACATTGGTGTTGTACATAACCACATGGTGCGGCTGGAGCTTCTCCAGTATATGCTCCAGTGCCATGGAGCCCTCGCGCTCTGTCTTGAAGGTCTGCAGACAGACGTAGGGCTGCTTGCGGTGGGCCGCCGCCTCGAGGGCAGCCGTCACATCGAATTGTTCGAGTTCAGGTATCGTTTCGAAAATTGATGTATTCGGATCCGCCTTTAGTTGCTTTTCCTGCGACAGAGAGGGCTGGCTCATCGTCAGCATGTAGCTCTCCTCAAAATGCTGCGCTTCCGCATCCGTTTCGCTTAGCAGCTGCGCAAGCTCATCGATCCCAGCAGCAGCAGGCTGGGAGGCCTCTACCGCAGCGGCTCCTGAATTGGGGTGGTCTACTTTAGAGGTAGCTGCTGCTGTTCCGGCCGCAATGGACTGACTTTCGCGGGCATAGCTATCGCTCAGATTGCCCACGGGCACCTCGTGGTGCAAGGCCTGCTGCAGCAGGAAACGAGGCCCGCCCTGTGTGAGGTATTGCTTCAGCTGGTAACAGGTGCGCGCATCCTGGCAGAGTATCAGCACCTTGGGTTGCTCTTGTCCATGGCTTTTGTGAGATATGTCTTGCGTGAGCAGCTCGGTCAGTGCCTGCCACTTGGGGCAGGGCTCAGGCTCAAATTCTGTTTAATTAAAAGTAATTTTGGGGATGCCATTAAATAACTGGACGACTCACCCTGCTGGCCATTGTAGACGCGCTGCTTGGAGAGCTTGAAGACCTGTTCGGCGGCATCGAGGAGGGTCCATCCCGAGTTGCTCAGAGCATACTCCGTGCTGCGGTAGCGCTTCATCAGGGCATAGGCGCTCACAGCGTCGTGATACATGGTGGATCTGGGAGTGTGATCGCAAATGAAAGCCACTTCCCGCCAGGATTTGCCGAAAAGTACTCACATCATCAGACTACGCAGGATCTTGAGGTCGGCGACAATCAGCTTCGTCTGTGAGTTAAGCTGATGCCAGATGCAGTCCAGCTGCGCCTGTAGGATTTTGTGGAACTTCTTGGTGACACAATTTTCAACGGTGACGGCCTCCATGTCTACGTTCCGATTAATCCGCTTGATCTCGCGCACCAGAAAGTTCATTATGTCCAGGATGTGCGTCTGGATGGAGGTCATATGTTGGCTGAGGGGGACATGCAGCTCGATAGTCTGCGCCTGCCACGGTTTGAGGGCGCCGCGTACTGTTGCATGGAAGCGGGGCCAGATGTACAGCTGCTTGACAAAGAGATTGCGCATGGTGCGCTCAATGTGCGAGTAACCGATGGTGAAGGCCTCCGGGCTGTTGGAAAAGGCCTTCACGAAGCCCGTCTTGTTGCGCTGCCGGTAGAGGCGCAGGGCGAACGCCTCCTGGCAGCTCTCGATGATGGTGTGGGCTCGCAGCACCACTATTCCGGTGATCAGCTCGATGGGGATGCGCTGCTTGAGCAAATCAACCACCAGGATGCGGGTGCTGATGAACTGAAGGCCTCCCTCCAGATAAACACGCTCCCTGCGGAACAAACATGGATCTGAGTGAGAGGGAAATATGAAAGGACTGGTTATTTTTCACCTTTCCGTTGCCGTATTGGCCACCTCGTGCACGTACTTGGCCTCCATTTTCGATTTATAGTACTGCTCTTCCCAGTCGGAGCCATTGATGATCAGAATAAGGTTTCCAGCATCGCTGTACGCCTTTAAAATGTGAACCAAGGCGCGCTCATAGCTCAGGCCCCTTGTTTCGGGCGGATAATTCATGGTGTTACTTGAGTGTGGGCAACCCCAACTGATGGACACTTACTTGGCACACACCAGCAGGCCGTCTGCATGGACCAGATCGAGAAACATTTGCTTCTCATACTCCAGCAGAACAATATCTTTGCTCATCAAATACTCCTCAGCGGTCACAATGTTGGCCAGCTCGTCATCCTCTCGCACGGCCTCGTCTGTCTCCAGCAGTTTGCTTGTATTCGTCTCCTGAGACAGCTCTTTGCCAGCATCTGCATCCGCATCAGCGGTTTTTTCCGCGGCAGTCTCGGACATGGCTTCAAAAATATTTCACAATTCGCACAAAAAATGCCGGGTTAATCAGCTGTTGTCAAGTCAAAGATAAAATCGAAAATGTATTATCGATGGCGGGAAAATTTCAGAGAATATCGACTATTGTTGGTGGTCCGGCAGCGCCTGACCAGGTACAAACAAATCAGGATTGATTAATTCACTGAAAAAGCGAAAATCTTTTGAAGAAATTGCAATAATCAAATGAAAAACGTGGAACTCTAGAATACTAATTCAAAAGATTATGCACCATATATGGCTTTTTAATCAGCATTTTGAGGATGCACAATATCGATGGGGCTGCCAGACTGTTGGAATTGGTCAATTTACAAAATATTCAAAAACGCAAGAAATAAATGATAATACATAACAAATTCATTATAAGCAGTCAATTATGTACAACATACGTTTGCTGCGGCAGCTGCGGTGGTTCGGCGGCCACCACCGCCTGATGGCCAGCCAGCACAAGCGACCCCAGCTGCTAGGCAGCGTGCCCTCCGACCAGCTAGAGCAGCTGAAGAGCAACTACTTCGCTCGGCGGCAGGAACTAAGCGGCGATGAGTGGCAGAGCGTGCGGCACTCGCTGATCGAGGGCTACAAGCACATCAATGACCACAACGTGGACGCCGTCATCCTGGGCGTGTGCAGCGGTCCCCAGCAGCTGTCGCTGGCCAAGAACTACGTGGATTACCTCAGGAGCACCGGAGCCGGACCAAATGCAGCCACCCTGGGACGCCTACTGCGCGTCTACAACACGGCCTACCACACACGGCCGCTCAGCGAGGCGGAGCAGCGGGAGATCCTCCAGATCTGCGACTCGCTGCAGGCAGCCCATGAGACACTAGACGCCACCAGCTGCGAGCAGGTGATCCACGGGCTGGTGGCCACCACAGAGCACTGGCAGCGTGCCCTCCCACTGCTGGAGATGATGAAGGTGACTAGCACGCCCAGCGTATCCGCCTACAGTGCCCTGGCCGAAAAAGCGTTTGGCCAAAGCGACCAGGCGGAGGAGGCCTGGCGCCTACTCGAGGAAATGACTCTGGCCCGCAAGCAGCCCAGGTGCGAAGTGTACCTCGCCCTGCTCAACCGTCTCGCCCAGGAGCCAGCAGCCACCTCTAGCCTGAGAGTCGAACTGGAGCGCCTGCTGCAGTTCCTCGAGCGCCACAACATCCTCGTCAGCCAGAAGGTGGCCCAGCGGCTGCTCCAGCTAGGCCAGCAGCTGCCACAACAGCTGCGAGTGACCGCCAGCCGTCTGGGGCCGTTGGGCAAGTGCCAGGAGTGCCGGCAGCATCTGCAACCGGTAGCCATCAGCGACGAGGAGTTCCGGCAGCTGAGCGAGTGCTTTCTGGAGAAGGTTCTGATACGGGGGGACGTGTTCCAGAAGTCCACACCCGAGGAGGTGCTGCGCTTCAAGCAGTACGTGGAGAAGACTGCCCCCTACGACTGTGTGATCGATGGCCTCAATGTGGCCTACTCCACCGGCGCGAAGAAGGCACCCCAGCAACTCGCGAAGCTCCTGGCGACGGTAGTGCGTCACTTCAAGGAGCGACACAAGCGTGTATTAGTCCTGGGCCGGGAGCACATGCGGAAATGGTCCAAGTCGGCCATGCACTATGTGCAGAACAATGCCAGCCTCTTTCTCACCAACAATCTGTAAGGGACTCCCATCCGATCCGATCACAGAATAACTTTTTTCCCTCCCCCCATTGGCAGATCGCACGACGATCCCTTTCTGCTGTACGCAACGATAAGGAGCGGACAGGAGACTGACTTCTTCTCAAGGGACCTGATGCGCACCCATGCCTTCCTGCTGGGAGCCGAACTGAAGCCCATCTTCCGACGCTGGCAGCAGGAGCACCAGTTCTCTCTGGTCACCCAAACACAGACGGGCAAGATCATTGTCAAAGAGCCCATCCGGCATCGCCTCTCCGTCCACCAGGCGGAGGGTGGGTCCTGGCATGTGCCGTACTGCGATGTGTACACCCCAAATCCCACCGACAGCTTTGACGTGCCGGAGCACTGGCTGTGCCTCATCCTTAATACTTAATAGATTCTCACATGTGTGTCCGCGATTCATTGGACAATAGAAAACCCATACATGGAGCGCATCCCTCGAACCCCCTCCTTACCCGCATTTGGGGGCACTGCACTTGTCGAAAGCGCTCTTTTTGAATGTCGGCTGCTGCCTGTTGCGACGGCGCTCGTAGGAAATCTTCTTCTCAGCAGCGCACATGAGGCGACGCTTGATGTGATTGTCCATCTCCAGGTCCATGTCGACGGGCTTGGCCAGCTCGTTGGGATCACGGGTGGCTGCCGAGTCCAGGGCCTTGATCACAAGACTGAGGAGAGCGTGGGCCAGGCGGTGGCACACATCATACTCGATGGCGTCCTGGCTTGTGTAGTAGATGGCCGACTGTGAGGTCGGTTGCACACCAATGGCCAGCAGGATGTTGCAGAAGATGCCGCGCTGCATGCGGGCGTACGGATCGACCAGCTGCGGCGGTATGCGCATGGTGGTGGCCAAATGGGCTATGAACTTGGCAAACTTCTTGATAAGCACGTTCAGGTACTGTGTACGACACTGGCGCTCCAGTTTGGTCAGCATGTTGTAGTACAGCTCCTGCTTGCGCTTCAAGAAGTCCTCCTTGCGTCGCTCTTTCATTTCGTTGCTCTTCAGAACCTCCCCAAGCTGTCTGCAAGAAAAAAGATTGCCTAATTTGGGTCTTCTATTGGCTTTTGTGCGCACTTACTCTGTGGTTATGGCATTGTATTTGCCCAACATTCTCTTGATCCGCTTGGCCCGCAGCTTAGGGTCGTAAACATCCTTGAACCGCGCGTAGCTTTCCATCAGGTCTTGCATCCTGGGCTGGGATCTGGTCACATCGCTTGGCCGTGCCTTGGGCGGCATGGATGGCTGGTAGGCCATACGGCGGACATATGACCGCAGCTTGTCCACGTTCTCCTCCTGCCTGCGTTGCCGATTGCTAGGACTGCAGTAATCCGGATCCTCCTCTTCGGCCTCCTCGAGCGATGATGTGGGCAACGGCTCATCCCAGTCAGACACGTTCGAGCTGGCCATAATGATTCGTAACTAATATACACAAATATATATTCTCACAAAAATTTTGCAAAACGGAAACAAAAAATTTCCTTTTTTTGAGCGTATGCGAAAAAATTAAACCCGAAATACTTTGGAGCTCACTGATAATTTCAGTTGTTGCTTAGTCGAACGTTGAATATTGAATGAGCGAGGGACGGGATGACCTCACAAATCTCTCGGCCTACCACATTCAATATTCAATCCTTTATTACAGAATGACATTAAAACTATGATAAAGCTATTTGTAGTTAAAATATACATCTAATCAGCTCTCTAGTTGCTATCCTTTTGCACGGACCGCTCCAGGGCGAAGGTGTATTCCTCGGCCAGACGATCGACGGACACCTGGCGCGTTAAGAGGGCCAAGGCGGCGTCCATCTGCTGCTCGGCACTGAGGCTGGCTTCCTTGGTGGTTAGATGGGGCGACAGCTGGAAGGGTATGTCGTCCAGATAGCTGTAGCTTGCGGGGCCGGACACTGGCGCCGTGAATGGCATCGAGGGCGGGTATATTCCGCCAGGATTTGCGCTGGGCTTTCGCTCAATGAACACAAAGTCATCGCCACCACTGGGTCGGGGGGCATCCGCAGGACCTTGTATGGCCTCCTCAGTGGGAGTGGCGGTGGGCTTTCGCTTACCAAATACCGAAAACATTTTATAAAATGTCGAAAAATATAAAAATAAATGACGACTGCGCTCGATATATGTACAATCGCGCACAGCGTTGCCAGTCCGTCGCCTTGATGCGCAGGGCTGCATGCGTCTTGTTGTCGGTATGAGTTTCAACTCTTCTCAAAAATTAGCGACAACAAATTTGTGTACAGATAATTGCTGAAGTGAAATAAAAAAGTGCGAAACATGTCGAAGGTGGACCAAGACGCCAGCGCCTCGACAAGCATCATGGAGGTAGGTGATTGCCGCTGCCCAATGCACAGTTTCCCTGCACACCAGTGCCCGAAGGTGCAGCAGAATCCGCGTACACGCTGGCGGACGCCCCGTCTGCCCGCCCAATTGGGATAAACGCAGATTTTAACTATTAACTCTCTCCTTTTCTGCATGTTTTGTTTAGCAAATCAAGGTGCTTATTGAGCCGCCGCCCAATGAGGACGAGAAGGCCGTGAAGGGTACAAACACCAAGCATCCGTACTACAGGCGTCCGGGCCGTGGCCACAATCACGATTATTGCGATGCCTGCGAGGAGGGGGGCAATCTGTTATGCTGCGACCGTTGCCCGTCCAGCTTCCACCTGCAGTGCCAGTAAGTAGAGATGCGATTGAATCCCCTCCCCTTTCCCCCGTAGGTAGCTCCACCAAGTGCACAGTGTTTTAGTGTTCGCTCCCTTCCCTTTTCACATTCAGTGATCCGCCGCTCAGCGAAGAGGATATACCCAGCGGCCAGTGGCTGTGCCACAGCTGCCGCATGGTGAAGGTGATCCAGCCCCGGTCCAAGGCCAATTCCGTGGAGCGCGTGCCCTCGGGCGGTAGTGGCGGCTCGCGCGGCCACACACCGTCGTCGGGGGACCTGGAATCGATACCGCAGAAGATCCGCAATCTGCGCAAGCGGAGCAACAGCGAGCGAAACAGCACCGAGAAGCTGCTGGCCAAGATGCCCCTGGCCATACAGCGGGCCCTCGACCCAAACAAACGTCCTACGCCGCTGGACGACATTATACGCGCTGCCAGCATGCTCAACCCGCAGCAGTTCTCGCTGCCCCCCGAACTTGAGCTACACACGCAGTTCCCCGGCAACGGCAAGGTGCAGCCCGTCCAGCAGACGCAGCCGCATGCGGGCAACGGGCGGAGCCGGGTCTCGGGGAATCAGCGTCGCAACTCGAAGCCGTTCGAGCTAGATGGCCAGGGACTAGTGCCGTTGCCGGCCAAGACATGCTTCTACTGCAGCAAATCGTGCAAGCGGGCGCCGCTCCTTTCCTGCGACTACTGTCCGCTGTTCTACCATCAGGACTGCCTCGATCCGCCGATGACGGCGCTACCGGCGGGCCTCTGGATGTGCCCGAATCATGCCGAGAACTTCATCGTAAGTGCTCCTCCTTCTGCCACTCCTACCACCACAACCACCTCCTCCAGCTCCACCAATCCTGCAACAAAGCCTGCTCTCTCTCTCCAGGACGCCCACATGACCACCAGCATTTCGGCCACAGAGCGTGTGCGTCTATGGAATCGCTTCCATCAGCCGGTTGACCACGAGAGCGTCAAGATGGAGTTCTTCCGCCGCGTACACACGCGCCATCCCCCGTTTCGTACCAAAACCACGGTCCGTACACGCGCCCACATCGATGTCCCGGCCAGTGTCCGGCACCACTACGAGCATCCCCCGCCCCTGCTCCCCTCGATGCGCCAGACGCTGCGCTACGATGGGGTGAAGCGCCGCAAGAATCTCCCCAATTCCGTCGAGGAGATATCCAGGGAGACGGTGACTGAGTCACTGCTCAAGGATTTGGAGGCCCTGCGCTCTGCCCATGCCAAGTTCCGTGAGATACAGCGGGAGTACGGCAATGGCCAGGATTTGGAGGATCTGGTCATCGACAGCGATAGCGACAATAGTCCAGAGGCAGAGCCAGATGCGAGTACGGCAGCGGGAGACGCAGCAGAAAAGCAGGAGAATGGCACGGCTCCCATGGAGCAGGAAGCAGGAGAGCCAAAAGTTGAGCCTTCGGCAACGGCCATCAAAATCGAGGAGAAGGCGGAGAATCCATTTTTGGACATGAGCTTCGACGAGGAGGAGGAGTCGGACAGCAAGTTGGCGATCATCGACGCGGATCTGCGCCACCTGGACGTGGACATCATCAAAAAACTGGCCCACCAGCGCCTCCAGCAGCTCGTCCAGGAGCATCCGGAGATTGTAACACAGTACAAGAATCGCACGGCCGCCCGTCGTTTGCGTCAACTAACGGTTCAGCAACAGCCGACGACCCCTTGTGCCGCTTTGCAGGGCGACCTGGCCCCGGAGGACATGAATCGCTTCTCTCTGCTGTTCACCAGCGAAACGTCATCGATTCTGGCCCAGAAGAACGGTAATGCCGCCGACGAGGATCCCATGATGGCTCTCCACCCGGCCCTGGCCACCGCCGCGGCCATCGCGGCCGCCGATGCCGCCGCCGAGAGCTATGAGCCGCGCGTGCGCACCGATGCGGAGAAGGCCTACGAGCTGGCCTCTCGCCTCGAACTGAAACTGCTCCACTGCAAGGTGCGCGCCCGTGGTGTGCTCACGCCCCTGGGCGATATGCTCGAGGACAGCCGCTGGTTCAGCAACCTGGGGCTGGAGCAGTCGATCTTTATGCGCTACCGCACCCTCTATGTGGGCTATGGGGGTCATTTCACGCCCTCGACATCGATGTGCCACACCGAGACCGTTGATCTCTCCGCCATCGGCTACTGCAGCCGTATCTCGCCCCAGCACGCCATCATCTTCTACGACGAGTTCTCCAAGTCCTTCGAGCTGATCAATTACTCCGAGTTCGGAACAGAGGTCAATGGCCAGCTGTACACGTGCGATCTATCTGAGAATGGACGCACAAAGGCCGCCAAGCGCATGCGCCCAGACGATGCCGATCTGAAGCGCCGCGTTGACGAGATCCTGGACAAGCGTCGCCACATCGAGCGCCAGTACGAGCCAAAGAAGTCGGGCGAGGAAAGGTGAGATATTTTCGGCGAAAACCATTATATCTCAAACCCATTTTCTTTTCGTCCCTTTCTTGCAGACTGGTGGGCATTGTGAAGCCTGCCTGCCGCTGCCAGGCGACGGGGGAGCCAGTTCCCATGGTGCCGGGGGCCTGGGAGGGTGCCGCTGTGCTCGCCCACGGCACTCTGTTGCGCTTCGGCTGCCTCGCGTTTGTCTTCTCAGTGCCCTCGAAGGATCTGCTGCAGGCCCAGGCACGCGCCAATCGTCAGACGTAGGACAAAATGCATTGTAGCCAAGGACCCCAGGGACCCCAGGGACCCCAGAGATGCCCCCTTCCCTACCCAGAAAATCTCAGTGAGAGCAGCTAGCAGACTTTTCCCCATCCATCCATTATCCCTCATCCTAGAATTAAGTGCCAAGTGCATTCAACAGTTAAACTTCACACAAAACTAATGGAGGTGCCACGGAGGATCACTGTCGTAATTTTTTTGTGTCATTGTAGTAGAAGAACCCCACATCCCAGCCCCTCAAAGCCCACACTCAAACACACACAAATGTATAAATGAAGAATAAAGTCTAAGAAGAAATACGATGAAGAAAGCAAAGTTTTTAATGCTAAGCGTCATCCAAGATTCCTTTTGAAGATGATGTTTGCTGGAGGAATGCACCACGACCTCTAAAGAACAACACGGGACTTCTGGCCATCGGCATTCGGAAGCGCTACCCGCTACCCGCCGAGGAGCTGATCTGTACTCCGACTGCCGTCGCCTTGTCGCTGCTCTGGATATTTTCGGAACACATTCAGGTTTCGACCTGTCTCCTGGCCTCCTCTGCCATCGACATAATGCCCGAAATCCAGCTGCAGATCCCGACTCGCTCCAAGGCGCTGTCCTTCTACTGATATTGATGGAGGCCAATGACCTTTTCACCTTCAGTTTAAGTGCGGGATAGACGCACTGCCGCATAAATCGCATTTTCCTTCGACAGATTCCATAAAGTACTTATATATAACGTCTTATTGAACCCATAATCCATAGACCTGTATAAAAAAAGATTACCTCCTGCAACGTCCATCCGATACGCAATCCACAAGTAATTTTCGGGGCCATTTTGGGGGACAGAAAAAACCGATTGAACATTTTATGGAAATAAAGGTTTTACTTTTGAAGGATAACTCCAGATGCAGACGCAGTCTGGCAGTCGCCAAGGCAAACGTTAGTAATTGAGAATACAGAGGGAAGAGTATACACAAACAGGAACCTCCTTTGAGGACGAAGGACAGACACGGAACAGAGAAATAAGTACATAAAATACATTATGGGCTAGCATGCAATACAAAACATAGAATAGTACAGGAATAATACAAATATAAAAACTATGGGTGCCCTGCGTCCACATAAGCGGCAACGGATGTTGTGGCTGCTGCCTCCTGGACAGCACCGGCAGCACCTGTCTGTACCGTTTTGGCAGCGGCAGCGGTGCGCGTGGCCCTCGAACGCTCCCATTCGACTTTGTGCTTGCGCTTCGTGTGGTGGTACATATTCGATTTGGAGCGAAACTCTGTGGGGCAGAAGGAGCAGGTGTGCAGCTTGACGCCCGTGTGCGTGGCAAAGTGTTCCTGTCGCAACAGAGAGAGGGAGAAGCTTAAGTTTGCGGCTTGCGGATTGCGCAGACACACGCAGTACTTACCTCCAGGTAGCGCTTCATCTTGAAGCACTTGCCGCACACTTCGCAGGCATATTTGGGCTTTGTCAGGCAGCGATGATTCTGGCCGGGCAGCTCCCCGCAGCTGGGACAAATGATGGGCGTTCCAGTGGCAGGCAGAGGAGCGCTATCCTCCATTCTGTGCCGCCGCTTGTCCAGCATTCCAGCCACAGAGCTGTAGAGAGATTCGATATTGGGGCTAGAACCATTTCTTCTGTGACTCTGTGCCTCACCTGTATGGATGCGACAGCCCTCCGCCTGCTCCTGTCGTTATGGTGGTGGCTGCACTCGTACTCGCCGCCGCTGCCGTCATGGCCGTTAAGAGATCCTGCTGCTGCTGGAGGAGTAGGCTCGCACACAGACGCTGCTGCAGGCTGTCCGCCGGCCCGGTGGCAGTCCGGTCGCTGAACGAGGCCGCCGCCACCACAGCGGCGGCCACTGCATTGTAATTGGCCAGCATCAGTTCGTTCTCCTTGAGGCGCTTGTTGTGGTGATGCTCGTGATGCACTGGACTGCTGCTGCTGTTGTCCTTGACATCGACATCCCCATCGCCGTCGCTGGCACTGCATTCGGTGTTTTGGACCTTCTTGGGGGACTGGGTCTTGCGGCGGCTGGACCGAGTCGTGCGTGAGCGGATCGTGGATGGAGACGTTTTGGCCATCGTTAAGTTGATGGCTTCGATGGAATCACTCTTGATGGCGGACAGTGGAAGTGGCGGCGGCGGCGGCGGCGGAGAAGGAAGCGAAACTGTAGGTGCTGGTGGCGGCTCTTCTTTGATCACAGCTAGTTCGCTGGATACATCTGGCTGGGTCTGCACCTGATTCTGGGACTTGGCCGCATCGCGCTCTTCGCGCGCCTTCAGCCACTGGGTAGTGTGCTTGCTCTTCACGTGCGTGTACATGTTAGAGCGGCAGCGGAAGGCCATTTCGCAGTAGGGACAGGCAATTGGCCGGTCGCCCGTATGGGTGGCCACATGCTCCTCTAGATACCGGCGCATCTTAAAGGATTTTTCGCAAAACATGCACGGAAACTTGTTGACTGCCAACGCCGTCGCCGCTGCTGCGACAGTCTTCGATTCGGCGTACTCAGGCTCCTCCTTGAGGAGCTGGCAAGGGGACGCCTCATCGACGTCAACATCGACATCAACAACATCGCCCTCCTCCGACCAGTTCACATCGCAGTCAATCTCCAGAAACTGGCTGCACAGTGTCGTCTGCTTTAGCTCCACCAGCTTCCAGAAATTGTGGAAGCTCTCCAGCTGCCCGCAGCAGTCGGTGCAGATGCAGGTGGAGATGGCATCATCGCGTGACAGCTGCAAATGGCCAAATTGCGTACTGCAGGATACTGTGGGATGGGGTATTACTTACGCAGAGATACAAGTGGATCGAGATCAATTGGACCAAATAGCTTTCCGGCACTGGTTTGTTGTTGGCTGCTGCTGGCGCTCCTGCTCCTGTTCCTGCTGCCGCTGCACTGTCGCTGTCCGGCGGGGCGTCGGGGGGAACGGTGCCACCGAACAGTAGGACGGCATTCTGCTCGTCCAGCGTGTTCAGGCACAGACGACAAATCATTTTTTCAGAATATTTTTATATTTTTACTGCAGCATTGAGTAGTTTATATGTTTTACAGTACGGTCACACCTTTACCTAGCGATGGGCGATATCGATTATAAATTATTGAAAATTATAACTATTGATGCATCGGTATGCGTTTACGCGTTAGGGAATTTTCAGAACAAATATCGATATTATATCGATAATCAATATGATATGTTTTTGTATCTGTATTTCGGTGGCCAAATACTCAATTCGGGTCTTAAAACGTTGCAGAACATCGCATTTCTGAAGGAGCAGCATTCCTGAACAATGAACGGCCTCCCACAAAGCAAGCACTACAATCTGACGCACTACCAGCAGAGGTACAACTGGGACTGCGGCCTGTCCTGCATCATCATGATATTGTCCACCCAACAGCGGGATGAGATGCTGACCAATTTCGAGGCCATCTGCAAGGAGGAGGGCTTCGGGTCGAGTACCTGGACCATTGATTTGTGCTACCTGCTGCTGCGCTACCAAGTGCGTCACGAGTACTACACCCAGACCTTGGGCATCGATCCAAACTACAGCCAACACACGTACTACTCGAAAATAATTGACAAGGACGAGAAGCGCGTGACGCGCAAGTTCAAGGATGCCAAGGCCCATGGGTTGCGCGTTGAGCAGCGCACTGTCGACATGGAGGTTATTCTCAGGCATCTAGCGCGACACGGTCCGGTAATCCTGCTGACCAACGCCTCGGTGCTCACCTGCGAGATATGCAAGCAGAATGTACTGGAGAAGTTCGGGTAAGTGTGGACAAACCCCTTCCGTTTGCTCAAGCTCCCCTGCTCATGTCCGCTAAGCTGTTTCCATATTCCTTGTATTGCCCGAAATACACGCTTGCCCGCCGCCACCAAAAAAAGGTATGCCGGACACTATGTGGTGCTCTGCGGCTACGACATGGCCACCGAAAAGGTATTCTACCACAACCCGGAGGTGCACGATGGCCGTAAGTATCTTACTATTTGTCCATCAATTAAGAGCTAAAGCTATATAATCATTATGTATGTAGATATTTGCCGCTGCCTGGCCGAGTCGATGGATACGGCGCGTCGTGCCTATGGCACGGACGAGGACATCATCTTGATATTCGACCAGATGGCCAGCAAGGAATAAAGAGACTCCGAGCGGAGCGTCTGCTGCTCATCGTAATCGTAGTACCTGCCCAGCAGTTGCCGTGCTTGAATGGAGGATGGATCTGCGCTTTGTGATATTATTGGATAGGCTAGAAAATTACTAAACGAAGAAGGATTCGATTGGATTGGAAATGGAATATGGTTTGGCTAGGCTTGGCTGCTACGTTGTCGAAGCGAAGCATTTCATTGGCACAACAGTGGACTTTATTTGAGTTTAGTTATATCATTGATACGCGCGCGGCATCTGACGCAGTTGGTCCCAAAAAAAAACAACAATTACAAACGCAATTATGCAAACAGGACGCCGATCAGGCTGATGTCCTGCCCACATTCCAATACGATTATCAATACCTTTGTGAATGTATAAATACTATATATGTTGAGTGTCTCTGTAGAAAATACAAAAGATTATTGTTGAATGCGAGCTGCTGCCTTACTGTGGATCCTCATCCCCATCGTCGTGTCCCACTTTTTTGGTCAGCAGCTGGAGTTTAATGTGCGGCGCCTCTACGGGCAGGACGACCTGACCGCCTGCGTCCGTGTACTTGGCGTACAGCTGTTCGGCAAATAGCTCGAACCCGTGGGAGCGGAGGATCTTCTGCGAGAAGATTCCCGTGGCATCCGCCTTGAGCAGGCGGAAGCCGCGCTTGCGGGCCAGCGACTCGGCGTGCCTAACCAGCTCCTTGGCAATGCCCTGGCCGCGGTAGCTCGCATCCACCGAGAGGATGCGCACATCAAAGATACGATCGACTTTGAAACGCCCGAAGAGATCAACCTTCAGGTTGTGGCTGTAGAGCAGCTCGAAGATCTTCTTGAAGTTGAGGTCGCTACTCGCCTGGAGCTTCTGCAGGGCCTGCGCTGTGTCGCCCGGGCGCAGGATGCCGTTCAGTATTACTCCGGCTATCTTGCATTCCTCCTGTTCAGCTCCTTCGCTGCGATCCACGGCCATCAGGCTGAGCTTATCGTGCAGCGTCTCCAGGCTGTGGTGCTCCAACTCGCTGTTCCCGAATCCCTTCTGGCACAGTCCAGCGGCCTTGTTCAGTGGCTCGTCCGCAAAGAAGTTCCTCCTCAGGTGGTCGATCACCTGCTCGTAATGCTCTGGTCCAATCAGTTTGTACTCCATAACGGCAATGCTAGTGCAAGTGGGTGGGTGGGTGCCTGGGTGCCTGGGGGATGGAATGCTCCTTTAATTTAATTGAAATTCTGTTATACATACATTTGCAAAATGTCTGTTATAACCACACAAAGGGCTCATCTAACTTTCCGTATAACGCAATTAGCTGTTACCGTCGTCCTACCGTTCTTTCAGACACACATACATATGTATGTATGAAAAGTGCACTCACTGTTGGGCAAGGTACATACAGAATTATTTAAATGAGGTGAGATCTCGAACAATTAGGCAGCCATCGTATGAGTCATTTCTGGCAATGCTTCACCCCATATGAAGACACCTTGCAGGCAGTAGGCAGTGGAAGTGTGAGAGTGTGAGCCCCTTACCCATTTGATGCCTTGTTGACACACCTCTGGCTTTGAGAGCTTAAATCTTTACTCTTATTTGTCTGCTGCTCTCTCCACTTATCTTTTTCAATTAGGAAAAAACCAAACTTTACCCAAGGAGCGCACTTAACTTAAACAATTATTTAACAATTTACAGTTACTTTCAGTTACTTTCACTTGTTGTCGAGCCTGGAAAAAAATGTGTAACCTACTTGCGGGCGCTGCCAAATGCGAACTGCGACGAGTAGAGCCTGGAGCTTGGAGCCACAGCAGCAGCATCACGGCGCTGTGGTGCGTGCTCGTGTATCCCTCTCCTCTCACCCGAAGTATGGATAAAAAATGTCGGCAGAGCTAGGGGTAGAGGCAGAGGCAGAGGCGTGTAGCCTCAGGGTCACAGGGATACAGAAGTGCAAAGGTTATTCCGTCACCCCTTTCAAGGCACTTCCATGATTACGCACACACGCAACTGCCTTTGTGTTTGATTGTGTGCGAGTGAGTGAGCGATTGCTGGCCGTGACTTATGGCCAAATGCCAATACAATTGCAGGAACGAACAGTAAAATTGAGAGCTGCTCTCCTCCACCTCACTCACACTCGCTCACACTCGCTCAAGCGCTCTTACTCCCTCGCGAATTTGACTTTGTTGTTGAGCGCAGCAACTAACTGTTGATTCTTCTCCTCTTCCCTCCTTTGTGCGTGACTTTCTGAAGGAGAAGGAGAGGGAGTGGAGGAGAGAGGTAGGCTGTGTGTGCCGTCATCCAGACACAATGTAAATACGTACAGTATGTCCGAAAAGTCTCACTACAGTCGGAAAGAGTATATATGTATTTTCTGAATAAATGTAATATTGATAGCCCTAGATCATACAAATGTGCGACTTGCAGGGAAGCCTCACTCCACACCTTTTGGTAAAACAGTTCCCTTCGGCGCTATCATCCACTGAAAGTGAATAGGAATAATTAATTAATTAAGAATATTATTTATAGTTTATGTTTTCTTATAGTTTTATAGTTTTAATTTAAAAATTTGCAATCTAAAAATATGGTTCATTAAACCTCTTTTTAAACGGGAGAAACTAAAAAAAATTGTTAGTACTTTTCCAAAAAACTTTAAGATTATATCAAATACTGGAATGTCAGCAAAGAAAGACCTAACAGACCCTTTCTTTAAGAGGTCTAAAGTATGATAAACAGTAATCCAATTCGAATGTTAGGCCCCTGCTATTGTAAAATGGTAGCATACTTTCTCGATACACAGTTTTTTACAGTATTTGCACGCACACATAAGGAGCTTGACTTTGCCATAATGCTGTCAACGGCAACGACAACGGCCAAGACGTGCCACAATCAAACGGGGGCAGAGGAAGGAAGACAAATTGTGTTAATAGATGTATGCATACACGCACAGGCACAAATATGTACATTCATAAATACAGGGAGCGCCATCTCTTAATTCGGTATTTAAACTTTGAATAGCTTTGAAAAAACGACTGATTTTCAAATATAGGGTATTTTTATTTGGTATTTAATTTGGTGCTTTAAAATTTATTCAGACTCATTTTTGAAATCAACATCAATCAAGTGGCCGCCTTTATAGGACACAATATAATGTGCCATTTTTCTGTGTTTTCCATCACATTTTCGAGCATCTCGGGCGATATAGCGAAGATATCGTCACGAATATCAGCCTTGAGCTCTTCAATGGTATAAGACTTGCTGGCGTAAACTTTTTAAATAACCCCACGAAAGGAAGTCTGGGCAGCCAATCAATATTCCCATTTTTTAATACCAGTAACCGTTCAGACCATTGAACGACTATTTGCAATGTACAGCATAACTACATATTTCAGCGCGTTGTTTCGGTAGTTTCCAAGAGTGGTCTACTCAAGTCAATCGGTTTACAAGTGTCCAACCTATTCAATGCTTTAATACCGACATAAGAGATGGCGCACCCAGTATGTGTGGGATACAGGATTTTTAGTACACACTCAAAGATAGGCAGGCCTTCCCAAGGATATTTACTAAGTAAAAGAGTTTGTCAGCATTTTGATGAAGTGGATGAGACTTCAAATGATTCTCCAACCATATCTGAACTCCCCTTTAAAATCAGCGGATAGTGATTAAATCTATTGACTTTGTGAGAACTGATCGTAAGAAGTATACAACGTATATACTTATAGAACGTTCGGTCTATGCTTTTTTAATTGGAGGAAAGAGTATGAAAAGAAAAAAGTAAACGAAGACACTCCCAAACGTTCGTTCTTCTTTCTGTGAAGGAAGATAATCAATGTATATGTACATATGTACATATATGTATATAAAATCCTGCCAAGACAAATTCAGTCTAAAAGCTACACACGCTTACACGTTTACACACGCGCTGTATGTGTGTGTGTGTGTGTGGGTGTGAAAAGAAAACAATGCGAATAAAGTCGCTGTCAAACTACGAGAGGTACCGTTGCAGAAGAAGCAGAAAAGGAGATCATTCGATCACGCAGCGAGTGTGTGGGCAACAGATAGAGCGTAGAATGGATGCAAGGAATTAATCCTACCATACATACACATGTGTGTATGAATACATACAGATGTGCGTAGCTCCCTTAACAGCGATATCCGTATCTCATAACCATTTAATAGAGTCTACCGAATGGCGAAAGCTCCAAGTACATATATGTATGCATACTGAATACTTTAATTAATAGTTGCCCGTCACTGGACTGTGGCCAAATGGGGCGGACGGGCACGTGTCCATTGACACATATAGAGTCATCACAGAGCCCTCCCATACAACAAATAATGGAAGCACATGACGGCACAAGACGCATATTCAAATTGCGTGACGCTTCTGTAGATCCCATGCCATAAACCGAAGCCGTACCTAAACCAGAACCTGAACCAGAGCCATGGCTATTTTCGGGTCAAACGCACAAAGGTATTTCAAAGTCAATTTGGTCGGTTGTCGTCTGTGTCTGACTGTGCAGATGGCATTTCTTTTGTGTAGTGCGTGTGTTTCCGCGCCCCGAAATGGGCGTATGTACATTGCAGCGTACCCAAAAATATCGTTGTGCGTTATTGCTGCCAATCAGATTCAATTTAAATCAATCTTCCCCACTAACGGTAACTGCTGCACGGAACTGATATCACTTCACGCCGTTCGTTCGAAAAAACGGTACGATACAAATCCATCAAGTTGACAGCCCAAACAAGCTATCGATTGATGAGGATCCACCATCCCAGTGGTACATTTCATATAAAGAGTGTCCCAACGAAATCCTGCTATATGACAGAATTCCATTTTGATTTATACACTGCCAATGAGATCCTGATCTTAATTTGTGCAATACCTTATTTCAAAATTCGATGTTTGTCGAACGATCTTTCTGAAGATATTCCATTTAATATGTATATTATATAGGATCTATTTATCTATCTATGAAGAGACCTCATCTGTGAAAGCACTCTCTCTTTCATCGCGGACAGCTGTTGCGGAACAGCTGACCATCGCGTCTCTCGTTCTCCGTCCGGACCGAACCGGGTCGCTTCGGTGTCGCTCATTCGTCGGCCCATTCTCTTGACGTGCACTCGTTCCGTTGTGGCTGTCCCGTCCGTTTATTTTCGTATTGTCGCATATATTTTTTGTGTGAATATTTATAGTTTATAGTTGGCGTTGTGCGTGTGACTTTTGTGTTTTTATTCTCTGTACGACTCTAAAAACTCTAAACATGGCATCCAGAGATCGCTTGCCCGTGTTCCCCTCCCGCGGGTGAGTACCCAACCACCTATCAGGTGTCCTGGGGTGTGGTAATTCTCATCCTCCAACAGGGCCCAAACGCTGATGAAATCGCGTCTGGCTGGCGCCACCAAGGGACATGGACTGCTCAAGAAGAAAGCCGATGCCCTGCAGATGCGCTTTCGCCTCATTCTGGGCAAAATTATTGAGGTATGTGGTATCAATGCCCTAGTCAATCCAAACTCAAATGAACGCTGCTTCCAGACCAAGACTCTGATGGGCCAACTGATGAAGGAGGCCGCATTTTCTTTGGCAGAGGCCAAATTCACAACAGGCGACATCAACCAAATTGTGCTTCAGAACGTGACCAAGGCCCAGATCAAGATACGCACCAAGAAGGACAATGTGGCGGGTGTCACGCTGCCGGTGTTCGAGCCCTACACCGATGGAGTAGACACCTACGAGCTGGCCGGCCTGGCCCGAGGCGGCCAGCAGCTGGCGAAGCTCAAGAAGAACTATCAGAGCGCCGTGCGCCTCCTGGTCGAGCTGGCCTCGCTACAGACATCATTTGTAACCCTGGATGATGTCATTAAAGTTACCAATCGTCGAGTCAACGCGATCGAACATGGTGAGTCGTGTGTTTTACCTATGTATATCCTCCAATTATCTTATACTTTCCTGTGCAGTGATCATACCGCGCATTAATCGCACCATTGAGTACATCATCAGCGAACTGGATGAGCTGGAGCGTGAGGAATTTTATCGCTTGAAGAAGATCCAGGACAAGAAGCGAGAGGCACGCAAGTCTGCCGACAAGCGACGTGAAGAGCTGCGTCGCCTGGGCGACGCCGCCGCCACTGAGGAGGTCCAGAACATACTCGATGAAGATGGCGATGAGGATTTGTTGTTCTAGATTCACACACCTCCTCACTTTCTGCTACCTCACCTGATCCCCCACTAATTCTTGTTCCTGTTCCAAATTGTTCATTGGGATATCCACATAAATGTCTCCCGTTTATCGTTCTTGTTGGAAATATACTCGTATATTGATATTGTATGTATATCTGTTTGTACATAAGTGATGCAAAGCCATAATGTCGCTTGTGTCTCAATGTCTCAATTGTCAATTGGTTTCTATGTTGTTTCTGTGTGTAACGTAACCCAAGGGCTTTCATCATTTTATGTACGTAACGATCAAAGCAAGTGTCTGTCCATATGTGTAGCTAAAGTACCCTATCAGTACGAAATGTTTTACATTTCTCATCAAGTATTTAGTTTTTTTTTTACTGTGTGAACCCTCCATTCTTTGCAGCTTTCCGATGTGGTAGATGATCGTTGACGCTTGTACTTCTAACGATTAGAAGTACAATGTGTACATACATATGTACCCACTCTTATAGAAGTATTAAGTATCAAAGTTCAATGGATGTAGGGAATGCTTAAAACATTCACAACCTTAGTATCAAAGATCTAAAGATCATAATTCCGTATCGATTATCTTAGGAAGTAAAGCATTGCATATTTTAGGAATCCGTGTTTCAAATACATATCTTACTAACGGAAATATCCAATCGCTTAGGAACCTAGGCATCAATTTTGTTATGAATTTAAGTATTAAATTTAATAGGTCTTTAATTATCAAATATTTTGCAAGTGCATCTCCTTCTTTGGTATCTTATATTTTATATGCATAATATACTATGTATATGATTATGCATATAATTTGTATTATAATATTTTAATATGATGGGCCATAAAAATGTGTGATTAATCTGGTTATGGCTCTCAAATTGCCAATTATCGAATGCTTTTTGCGGATTCACGGCCGGTACGTGCCGCGTACAGTCATTGTGTCATTGGGTTTGGAGATCAGTTTTCGACCACAGCTTTCGCACAGCACTCAGAGATCAGAGATTTCCATTTATCCAACCTGAAACCAAACCCACAAATGCCACAGAGCGCACGAAAACTCAATTGATTCTGTTGGTTGTTTAGGAGTAGTATGTATACATTCAAAATCATGTTTATTCATAGTTTTATATTCCATTTAGACTTATACACGTAATAGTATACCATTGACCACTGGGTGATCTGGTTTTTTGTAGTTTAAATTCGGCTTGAATTCATTGCATATAAATATTTGTTTTTTTGTTGAGAAATTTGCATTAGCATAGCCAAAAGCGAAACGAAAATCAATACGTGAAAAAGCAGCAGATTTCACACACATTCCATTAAAATGCAGAAAGCTTAGAGTTAATTAAATAATCAGTATTCAAGCGCACTGATATCCACTGAGCCGTTTGATGAGTGTTCTAAGCGTGTGAAATATTGTAAAGTGTTGAATATTGTTCCAAAGTCCTCTTAAACCTCCGTCTTGTGACCCATTTCATTCCACGTGCTTTGTACTTTCGTGTTGCATGTTGCATTTAAATTCAATATACGATCGATCTCCTGCCTCTCTAACACTCTCTCTCTCTCTATCGACCGTTTAATGGCACTGAATGCCTCTCAGGTTTTTTAGGCTTGAATTTTCTTCTTTTATGTAGCGCAGTGTAAATATTATGTAAATATGTTTTCTCTGTTGTATACTATATATATACATATATATATATATATATATATATATATATAGATAATGTATATATGTAGATTTTCCAAAAAAATAATATTAACATCAATACGTATGTATGTGCCTGACATCAATATTACATCAATTTATCCACACAACTTCATATCTGTATGTTGGTTCTTCCATATGTTCATATTCACGATAAAAAAAAGAATTGTGATCCATCGGTTTCGGCATATGTATGTATCTATGGGGTAAATATACCAAAATAAGTATGTACATCTGTATATGTATATATAGACATATTTAGTATATAAATATATATAATGTAAAGGTATAGGTATGCATTAATATCGAACGATATTCTTTTGATGCATGTGTTGCCTAAGCCTTTGCTTACAAAAAAAGTTTTAGTACAGTTTCTTCCGTACTTCAAGGCGAAGTACAGTTTCTCTCGAAACAGCAGAGTGACAAAATGAAACGGTCACTCTGTTTCAGAGATTTTGTTGATTTGCATACAAAAAAGTTTAGTCAGCTTTTGGATAATGATAAGAACTTTTGATAAGAACAGTACTCTCCCCAAAACCACTTGTTTTATATTTGCTCGCTCATACGCTAAGCTTCTACAGTTGTGTGTTTTTCTACGCCTATGAATTTTGCATACGGAAAAACATTAAAAAGTACAGTTGTTCGCCTTTGCCGTAAGCTGGTACAGTTGTGTGTTCTTTTCAAAGCATGTGTGCCTTTTGCATACGAAAAAGAAATGCAAGAACAGTTGCTCACTTCAACGCTAAGCTGGGCTAACGGGACAGCTGCGTTTTGCCAAAACGAAACAGACCAAGAGGTCTGCTCGGGAGATAGCTTTACGCTGTGTTTGCATGAAGATGCCTTGGAGTTCTCTTTGTCCTTGCCTCCGATATTATAGACAGCTTGGTTGCTTCTGGTGTTCCGGGTGCGGTGTGTATTTGAGCTACCACTGGGGATGCGGATAGGGTATGGCATGCGGTTTTTGCGTCCGCGTTTGGAGCTGTCTCTGTTCCTGTTTCTTTTACTGTTGGAGAGGCGCTTACAGTGACAATTGCGAGGGCCATCGCTGATGTAGGCAGCTGCGAGGTCATAAATATTTGCTGTGCTACATGGGGAGCTTTGGGGGGCATCACACGTTTGTTCTGAAATGTGAAAAAGGACAAACGAGCAGAAAGAAAGGAGAGAAAGATATTTTTAGTTGAAGCTTTTGGCATATTAATCCTTTAGTGAATATTTTTTTGATTGCAAAGCACAGCAAAATAAAGTCAAAAAGGTGAGCATGATCCATCGTGAACGATAGAAAAAGCATACTCGTGACAGACAGTGTGACCAGATCGCTGACCAAAGTTTCACTTCTAACGCTATTTTCCAACAGAAGTTTCATCGATTCAGTTCTTCGTTGATCAAAAGCCAGCTTGCAGTCCATCGAAAGTACTTCCACGTTACTAATCACAAAATTAGAAATTAGAAGAAACTGAAAATAAACCTGTTTATATGTCTATAAATCCAAATCAACACACAGTACAATAAAAGTCATAAGTGAATCAATTTAATGCTCAATAAAATGATACAAATAAATATGTATTTTCAGAATATCAAACTGATTTATCAGTAAATAATGATACAAATAATGGTAACGCGTAGATCAAATGTACATCAACATAAAAGCAACTAAATATAAAAAATATATTTTAATTTAATCTAAAAAAGAGCTGGAACGTTATGAGCCGCGGCAAAGGCCACGACTCTACTTTATACCCGGTACTCACTTTATAAAAATCGGTCGAGCCGTTTGGAAGATTTTTATATATTAGATTTGATCTGTTTCCATTTTTATTTGCATTTTTTCACATCTGTCTCTTTTTTTCTATTCCTTTACCAACACCACCCGTTTCATCTCGCTTCCTACTGCCAGATCACACACACTTTGCATACGAGGTGCAGTGTGAGAGAGAGAGAGAGAGAGAATGAGTAAGCGCGTGGAAGACGTAGCGTAGCCACTGAACCACTGTCTATAATAATCGTCCGATCTAATCGAGATTCGGTAATCTGCTGGATATAGTGTCATTCTCAACAATTGTGATTATTCGGTTTTTCCTATCTTTAAAATTGTGGATTCCACAGATTTACGTTCTTTGTGAGGGCAGAAGAAATTTTGAAATACACTTGTAACAATGTACTTATTCTGGAGTCTGGGTTTGAGGTTTTGTTGCTCTAGCTCTTTAAGTCTCTGAGAGCTAGGCGTCAAGCAATACGGATAGACGGATGGACGGACAGGTAGACATGACTACATATATCGACTCGGCCATTGACGCTGATCAAGAATATATAAACTTTACGGGGTCAGAAACGCTTCCTTCTGGGTGTTACACACATCCATTTTCACCACAAATCTAATATTATAGCAGCCAATATAATTATCTTTAATACAACTTCTTAAAGCGATAGGAAATCGGGAATTTGGATATGACTTTAACATTGTGTTTGTTGATCTTTGACCTTTGGTCACACTGCATGGTCACGGTACAGTTGTGTTTTGTAGTAGTACTCGAATGCAATAAGTTATTATAAAATATTGTATATATTAGATTTAAGATATTAGAGAAACATGCCGCTCAAGTTTTGCTGTAGAATTCACCAAGCGTTTACCGTGTGTGTGTGTGTGTGTGTGACTGTGCACAAAAATAGAGTGTAGATCTAATAGAGATTCATTTTCATCAGATATTTGTAGATATCGTATAAATATACATAACTTTTAGCGATGGGGTTCAATGCTAGTGAAGGAAAGTTCTGTCCACGGTTGCCACATTAATCTACACATTATATATTCAGATGTAATATGGATATATCTCAAGTTCATTAGGAACTATTGGTTGAAAACAACCTTTTTTTTAATTAAAACCTCCAGTGATCCTTTGTTATTATACTTTTAACTATAAGGATACACTACGAGGGCTATTGGGACGTTGAAGTGCCCTGGCTGACCATTACTGGCCGCAGCTAACATGCACGAACCCGAAGTTTATTACGCGCAGATCCCAGGCAGAAGCGCAGACAGACCGAGGGGCGCTGCTGCATAACACGGGGCAAATAAACTATGGTTTAATATAAGACTCGCTTTTATGGATATGCTCCTTAAGTTTTTTGTGGTACAACTGTGGAAACCGTGGCTCTATCCTATGAATATCCAATAATTTCTATCAATTTACATCTGCAGGTACACTATTCTGTAATTTTTGTAAAAAGCTAGCAATGGAAGGACCATGATTCGAGATGATTAGGACTTTTGGGAGATGGGAATTGGAATAAAGTGTTTGGCAAAGGATGCTGCTACTTTTGGAAGAGTGAATGAGAGTGGTTCTACGAGTGACTAAGTGACTAATTGGTTATATGGCTATGGCTACGGTAACGGTCTACGTTTAGTTTAGTGGCCTACTGCTCTGACAACTCAAATACAACTGACTCGGGTGGTACGGATGACGTTGACGGTACTCTAAGTACCTTTTGACCCCTGAAGCAGAGGCCGGAAATCATCCACTTGGTTCCAGCGTGTATGCGTGTCTCGCGCTTCCTACCCACCGCACCACCGACAGAGTCCTGCACTACAACAACTTCAGCCTCGACTCCGGCTCCAGCTGCAATTCCGATTCGGTCTTCATCATCAGTCCGTTCCCCCCTTTGGCGGCGTGGACTCTCCTGGTTGTTGTTGTTGTGGTTTCGCTGCACAAGACGCTGTCGGTGGTTGGGTTCGTGGATCATGACGATACTGGCACTAGTGTTCTGCCGCCTGTTGATCGGCGACGTTCTAAAGAAGGATTTATTATAGGATTCATTATGGGGCAATGTGGCAAAGTGTGTAATCGCATGGATGGCTTACCGTAAACCTCCTGTAGCCGCCTGCGTCTCGGCCACCGGCTGTTGGCCGACAGCGTCCGTATCAGGGGCGGTGTTGTAGGCCCCCGAATACATTGAGGGCCGCTTTGGCGCCCATTCGGGATGACCGCGCAGCGATAACTGATTCGATAAACTCTTGAGCAAGCAAGCGCGTACCTATCGAAGGAAACAAGGGGAAAAATATATAATTATCGGTGGAAATTATCTCTTTATGAGAGCTTTCTTTGAATACAAAAAGAAGATATATTTCAGGAATCTCTTTCACAAATATCGCCTTATAACCGAAATCGTTTGTAAAGTATCGATATTTAACCGATCAAATCAATGGATAGACAGGACTCACCTCGCCATTAAGGAAACAGTAGATGAGAGCAATGAAGAAGCCTTGAAAAGAGGTAAGAAAATGTGTGCCGTACGACCACACTGCAAAATTGGTGGCCGACTTGAGTACAGGCCACTGGTGCAGGAGATTGGTGATGCCCAAAAGAGGCAGCAGGACGATGGCGGCCCTCACGGCCTTGCGGGTCTGCTCGATGTCGCTGGCCTGCGATTGTCGAAGCTTCATCACCAGCACCCGGATGATGTTCACCAGAAAACAGAAATTCAGCTGCGAACGAGGGGGGCATTGAGCAGTCATTGGGGGAGTCCTAAGCGAAGGAGCGGGTCAAACGACTCACCAAAATTACTGCAAGTCGGGGTCCCTCGAGTATCCAGTAATACGGCGTCAGATTGTAGTTCCACAGGCATTCACCCATCGAAGTGTCCATGTACATGACGGTGCATCGTGCCCAGACTGTGGTCATCAGGATGGGCACGCACCAGCCCAGACGCGAGAAGAACTTGAGCGGAAACTGGCCCTGGAACACGGCCACCGTTACCATATTGTGCAGATACAGTCCCTCAATGAACATCCACATGAACATGGCCGTTCGGGCGTACTCCAGCAGGACATAGGAGGCCTCGCATAGATATGGCTAGAATGAGGGGAATGTTTACGAATGGCTGGTCTATTGATGTATCCTACTCACCGTATTCTCGATCGCCGAGAGACTACTACTAGAGTTTGAGGAACTGCCACTGGATTTGCTGCCGCGCTGGAATTGGTCCAGATAGATCGTGAGTCGGATAAGCACCTGAAGGACCATGGCGACGAATAGATTCTTGTGGATCCTTGTACGGTTGTTTCGCAGCGATCGAAAGCTACAGAAGATTACCAGAGAGACGAGCAGGGCAAGCAGCGACAGGCATAGGCCCACGATCTCCAACGTTCGTGTATGCCTGGCAATTTCAATATAGAGCTAAAGACGTTACGAGAAGAGAGAGATTAGTAGCCATGCTTGAGAGTGTGTGATTCATTGATATCCCTTACATCAATATCCTTGCTGCCCATCTGCTGCATTAGGCGGATCACCTCAGGTCTGTAGCAGGGTCCATAGTCGGTCCAACCAGCGGCAATCGCTTCCGCTGTCATATTTGTGGTATCTGGTCGTGTGCCCCAGCGGCCATCCAGCTCGCACTTGCGGATAGCAAACTCTGTTTTTGATCATCAAACCAAACACCACGAAAATAGGGAAGAGAGAAGGAAGGAATATATGAACGGTATGCAGGACAGGCCTTAGATGTTATGGCGTCGGGGAGAACTTTTGATTTTTACTTTTAATAATTATCATTTCGTTTAGCTTCGTCACATCAATTGATTGATATATTTCAACAGTTTTTTGTTCAATACGAGATAAAAAATCTTCTTGATTGTTATCGCTAATTAATGTGGAAAAAAATTAAAAAAATGTTTAAAAAGTCGATTTTTATTGTAAATACGAAGAAGAGACTCATTTTAGCACTTAAATTTCAATTAGGCGACAGAACTACAACAACGGAGAGAACAAAAGGGAGGCTTGCAAAGGATATTCCAGGATTATTTAATTTTAGCACTTCTTGTTATTTTGTATATGATTTACCCGAGTCTATAAGTTTTAATATATCATTCGAATATTTATACAAAATTAACATTCAAGGCAACATTTGACCTTCTTATGAAACACCATCTCTAAAGATGCATATAATTTTGGGTAGATTAATTTGTACTACATATTAAGAAAACTCCGAAAAGAAAATACAATTTTTGTTTATAGAAGTAGTGCATAAAGTTGTAAAGTTATATAAGTTGAAAGTTTCTATTCGTCTGTACGACGAAGATTACCTTCGCGGGGTGATACTAACAATGCCCTTACAGAGCTAAGTTTCTTCAGATCGCTAAGACCGTTCGAGTGGTATTCTCGGATATATATTAATACACAAACATGCTAAAGTTGCGAGCTCTATCCGGGCCCCAGAACAATACGAGTACCTGGCATTTGGCTTTTCAATCAATCCGTGACCCCTCCGCTGACAAGTGCAATGATGTCAATCGAATTAAACTTTGCGATCTGAATCGATGGGGTTGTGTGCAAAATGAGGCCAGGACAATGCTACTGGTACGCACTTCCATCGACGGAACTCAATTTGTGGGTTACACCATAATTAACTAATCGATTGAAAGGACGCTCTCCTTGGACTACGTCTACCTGACCAGCTCAGCCAGTTCAGTCCTCTTCGTCCCAATTTCGGTATGACCTCGGCTGCAGTCCTTACCGATGTCCTGGATTGGGTTGTGTTGGTTGCAAAATGGTTGAACGAACGCGTGACGCCGTGAGGCATGCAATGAATACGAAATCAAGTAATTGTTTGCCAAACTACTGACTAGGGATCAAAATAATTCAGGCCGTAATGTTTAATTTTAAAGGGAAATATATGTACATACATATGGTTTTATTTATGGGTCACTTCTCACTAAATATTTAAGGCGGAAAGGTAGACAGGACTCTTTCCACAGAGAAAAAAAGAAAATTACCTGGGCTTTCGTAGTATCACTTGAAATATATATTTTAGATTCATGTCTTAGACGATATCTTATTTCCTCGCACTTGCAGTCATCGCGAGTCTCACACGAGCATTCTGATTCAGTCTATTGCATTCTGAGTTCCGCATTCATACTGATAGTGAATCTAATGATTCAATATGCTTCGATTTGCTACACTCAATGGATGCTCTGCTCTGCTCTACATTCTATAGTTCTGCTGTCTAGAAATACGAATACTTACTTCGCGGATCGACCCCATGAAAGCCCGCTGGGCAATGCATACGTGCCATGACTCCGGCGGGAGTTGGCGGCCAACAGGTCAGAGTGTCCCAAGTGAAGTTGCAGTAGATGCCTAAAAATATTGCATAGAACGTGAAATAGAACGTAGCACAGGCGCAGATAACACAGTTGAACACCCACAAGAACTCCATCCCCACAGAGAATAGAAAGAGAGGTCTCAGTAATTCATCAGTTCATTTAATCGATACAAAACTTCGCCCCCACAGCGTTCAGATACCCAGTAGCTCCTTCAACTTGTCGGCCTTTAGCTTGTAGTCCACGTGGCTCAATTCGAACTCATTTACCGACAATTGGATGCGTGTTCCCAGATCTATGTATGGCAATCTATAGGAACCCCAATGGCGTAGCGCTCTTTGAGTGCGAACATGTCGTTTTCATCACATACTATTTGTTCCTCATTCGGTGGTGTCCATGTCGATCGCTTGCAGACTCGATGATCCTCGTTGAGTTTCTTTATATGTTTGATCATAGTATAGTCCATGTATTTGGAAGATCGCGCGTGTCGCGTAGCAAATTTTCGACCGTAGATTGTTTCGCGAGCAGTGAATAGGGCTGGCTCCAGCGTTCGATGGGCATTAGACTGACGGGGCAATGGAAGTTGATGTTTACTTTCCGATTTCCTGTATTTAATGACAGGAGATTTGTAGTGTTCGAAGTGTTTTTGGTATCCATATAGTAACCCATTTGCTCATTTACTCGGTACCAACGCATCCGCCTTTCGAAAGTTGTCGTTAGATTCTTGTATATTCTACTTTTTCTATTTTTAACCTTCTTTTTCTTGTTTTCTCCAAACCCTAGCACCTACCGATTACTCCCATTACCTTCCTTTTTCCTAGTATCTATCCACCTTAGCGGTGGATAGCCCATCTAAGGCTTGGATTAAGAGATTAAAGGTCTCCCTCTACCGGGACTAAATACAAATTCCCCTTTCTAACATGTTTCCCTAGTTATCTGGAGGGTCCCTGAAGACAACACTCACCTGCTTCTGGTTGCGTGTAGTTGGCAAAAATCGCCGAACAGTTCTCATAGTTGGCGGCAGCCGCAGCGGCCAACGTTAGATTTCCGTGAATAGTACCATTGGCAAAGCTGGTGTCTACCTCTGGCAGGGCCTCTGCCAGCACCTCCGATGCTGTTGTGGTGACCTCCAGGGCAATACGGGCCACCTGTGTGACCCGGTCGATGAGATAGGAAGGTGCCAGCTCCGCTGCGGCTGTGGTGGGCGATTCGGTTGTCATTAGCGAAGATGTGGTGGGCTCTGGCATGGAGTTGGGTGCAGCAGCTGCAGCAGCCGATGATAATGACACGCCGGTGAGGCGCATCAAGCGGGCGAAGAAATGAGTGGCGACACCGCCGCCGGTCTCGTCGGTACTTGGCTGATCTGTCATATCGCCGCAGACAGTATACCTGCCGCTGTGAAAGAAAAATAATGATGGAAGTAAATTAGATTAAAGTCCAAATATAAAGTCTATAAATATAACTGAGAAGAAGCCGCTCTCCTTTTGTGATGCATGTCCAAAGAAATTGCAATTCCCCCCCCCCCCCCCCCCCCTCAGACGGAGGTGCACGACCCCCACAGTAGAGATTTAATTGAAAGCTTATCAAACAATGCTGGAGCCAGAAGGTGGTACCAGACAGTGCATGGTACCGAGAAGAGACACCGTCACTGGCTTTTGATTAAGTCCAGCCCACGCTCACGCCCGGGCATTGCCATCGCCAGTCCGTGATGATTGCCTACAAATAAATACTACTCATGCCTGACTCGTATCATATGGGATGGAGTGCAGTTTCTGTTTCCTCCAAGTCGAGTATTTATAGCTAGTGAAAACATCCTCCTGCACGTACACTGACACACAGCACACATCCCATTGCATAGGGAGGAGCTTGACGGGATTATGATTGGCAAATGGCCAGGCAAAGCTCATCATCACCAGGCCAACGGCCTGGATTTCATTGAGTTCTAAAAAGATGTTCTGCATAATCGAAAGGAACCTGTGCTATCCATGTATAAATTTCTTCGCAGCACTAAAGCTTTGTATACATACAGTAACCTAAAAAAGTCGGAATATCGTTAACGAAATAGGGGTATATTAGTTGTGTGTGGATATGGATGTGTGTAACCGCCAAAAGGAAACGTTTCCGACTCCATAAGGTATATTTATTTTAGATCAGCATCAATAGCCGAGTCAATATAGCCATGTCTGTCTGTCAGTCTGTGTATCCGTCCGTCTTGACTAGCGCCTAGATTTCAGGGACTATAAGAGTTAGAGCAACCAAATTTGGTATCCGGAGTCCTCTGATATCACACTGTTATGGTGGGATGGCATTTATCCACACTAAAATTCCTGCCCAACACAAAACAGTGACAAAAAAATTTTGTGAAATTGTTCGGCAATATTTTGTATTTCAGTATCTTTAAGTACTAGAAAAAGTGTTATAATTTGTGTGTAAGCAATCCCAAAGCTTTTCAACAGTGACGGTGTAGAGGTCTCGTTTATCCTGCATTTCCGCACTTGCAGCTGAATATACGAGTTTTCCCGAAAGAGTCAATACTGTCTCGGGGCGCATTACTGGGTGCCATTCAAGTCTATCTGCGATATGCAATGGTGTGAGCGGAGCACGCTGTGGCATTTTGCTCAGATCTCCCGAGGTGCCTTTAAGTGCATTTTACATAATGTCTTCGGAATTCAACTTTGGATGTTGACAAATGCAGTTGCAGTCTAAAGGGACCCTTGTAAGCCAATCTTCTAATTATTAACATAATGGGCGTATGACATTTGGCTTTGCTTTGACACTACCAACAGTCAAACAGATTTTAATCGTAGCAACCTTACACGGAACGGTGCCAATGCATATACATACATGTATGTACGTTTGTATGAAGGAACGAAGGAACGTGTTAAAAATACTCTCCAAGAAGATGAGTGCAAGTCTTAAAACGTTTAAACATATCTCTGAAACATATTTATCTCTTTGCTATAGCTGGATACAAAAATATCCCATTAGATGAGAGGAAATGTCTGCAATGTAGACGATTCCTTGATTCGATATTTAGGGTGGCTGAAAAATCTCTTAAGTCTGCCAATTTGAGTGAGCTTGGATTGTGGTAGTAGAGTACAGTCTGTATTTGAAGGTTGGCTTTACAAAAATTCACAAAAAACTCCCAGCCAGAAAATGACTTTTAACAACTCAGAATTTATCTTATTTCTTTTCTCCTTTGCGAACATTTCGAGCAGTTGATTTGAAATGATCCGTTGGGAAAACTTTTGTGTCCTCTTCTCGTTCAATTTTGTCAATTTAAGAGCCTGAAAAACATTTAATTTCTATATACATATACATTACATATTCTGGCAATCCTCAAAATTTATTCAACAAAAACGGTGCAAAAATACAAGAAATACGATTTGGTTTTAACTGGAAATTCAGCATTTTCAGCTGAAAGTATTTTTTTCCCCGAAAGAGCCGCATTTCTTGCCCCCTTACATGCACCATATTATCCCTCTGCCACGTGCCACGTGCCACATTGCAGGGGCGGGCGGAGCACCCTGTCGCCTTTTGCTAAGCTTTCCCGAAATGCCTTTGAGTGCATTTGATATAATTTCATAAGAATTTCAATTTTGAAGCGCATATATGAGGTACTCGTACTCGCACAGTCCTCCCCTGCGTGGATGTTTCTCCCCTGCGTGTGCCTTGGGCACAGCCAAAGGTATCAGCAACATTCCATGTGCCCGAAATCCTTGGACAGATGTTGCATAAGGCTGCAGGGGCGATATTCTATGGACATCGAATACATCGACAGCATTGAATGCGGAAGCGATTGCAATTAAGCTTAATAATTTCAAAAACCACTCCCCCGAATCTTAAAAGTCTCAAAAGTAGAAAAAACCTCCGACTGTGGGCCCCCCTATCATTGGCCGTGTCCTGAGACCACAGTCCCATGTGGCACGTTTCACCGTCCCCAGACGAGTTGGTCCTGAGTTGGGTCACTGTGCAGCCTCTGGTGCCGCGGCTTGAGTGGGTGGATGGAAAGGGAAGGCCTTTGAAGAGCTGTCAAGGCAAAACTCTATTAAATACTTTAATAATTTAAGGCAGAAACCGCAAAAATCTGCAATGAAAAAATATACGAAAATGAGCAAACTAAAACTAAAGCGGAAGCTTATATATATAGCCTTTCAAAAATTCTGTAGGCTCCTCCCATAGGAAAAGAGTCTTTATAGGACAGACTCGAGTCGCATGTGGCTAAGAAATCCTTTGGAATCTCATAGGAATCTCTTTTCGAGTGCACAGCCCTTCTTTTGGGGACTCTCCCACAAAAATTCCCACCAGCATTTGACTAAGGCGTTGGGGCGTGGCGTGCTGTTCACGTCTTTGGTATAATTATAGTGCGCAAAAAAAGAGAAAGAATCAAGGAAAAATAATCTCAAGAGCTCTATTCATAAAGGGCGAAATGCATAGAACGGGCCAATGCCCCTAGACAAGAGGGTGGGAATGGGGCTTGGTGTTCGGTGTCAGGAGGGGGTAGGAGAGCAGGCTGCTGCCGCTGCGGCATTTGGAAAGTTTTTCGCGCTATTTGACAATGCTGTTACCCTCCCTGGTGGCCATCTTTTACTGCAGCTTTTTGGCCAACAGCACATGGCAAACAGTTGAATGGCAGAGCAGCAGCCACATGTGTGGCCTGACAGTGCAGAACATTGGTATCATGACATATGGGATCTTAATAACATTAAGAAAATATCGAATTATCAGCCGGAGCACTATAGGAGTTCTTCCAGCGTGGCTCTCTCTTCAGTATCTTTCTCGTTCCTAATGTGTCTTGGTTCATTTCATTTCATTGGTCATTTCATTTTCGTTTTAAACTCATAGATGGTGCTTTTGTATACGGCCTTATAGCTTCAAAACGCACTGTGTTAACGCCAGTTAGTCGCTAAACTAAAGGATATGCCAATCGAAAGTTTTTGCCAAGTTTTACCAAACCAGGACTAGATTGCTGCTTTAAAGAAGGGTCCTGCCCGGGTTATATCAACCTTTTCGTTGCTCCCCGAAAAATCGTTAGGACAGAACCAAAGACAGAACATGTCCTTTTGGGTGGATGTGGGTGGAATTTTCCTTTTGTAGCCGCAGGACATTTGCCGCTTGGCTGCAGCAAGCAGCCACTGGAGCTGCAGCTGCTTATACAATTTGTGGCATTGAATTTGCCAGTGCCACTGGTTGCAGTCAGCCAGTAGCCAGGAGCAAACGAGGATGCACCGAGCATTTTTCGACGGGTGGGTTCGCTCTGGTGTTTTGTTTTGCTCTGGGGGTCTCGTGAATGTCTTATAATTGAATAAATGAATAGCTCTGAGCTGCAGTGAAGATAAGGATGGATGAATGTAAGTATTCACCAAGTACGATTATTGTACGATTTTCAATGGAGGTCTCTCGTCGCACGCCTCACTGAATGCACTGTTGACCCATTCACCCATTCAAATCCATTCTGACAGGCCCAACAGATTTTGACAGCTACTCAAGCTGCGGTGTTTTGTATCCCTGTATTCTTTTGTCTCCCCCTCTCAATATTTCATTTAAACACAGAGAGTGTCCTGCTGTCTGCCTGGTTTTGCTTCTGCTTCTGCTTCTGGCTCAGTATCCTGTCTGGCTGGTGTAACTGTTGCATTACTGATTACGCTGCTGTTGTGCAATTTGCCGGATTGCCCCATTCGAACCAATCAATGTCGATACATGAACAGACCAAAGGAGTTATCGTACTCCCACACATACACAGTATGTGCACAGAACGCGCCACGGCCTAGAAGTATTTACTGTCAGTATAAATGCCATTGGCAGTGTAGCAGTGTCATCATCCGTGTGGCAATGACAGTGACAGTCCTTCCACTCCTCCAGTGTCAATGTCAATGTAATGCAAGCTCTTTTTCCACATCCTACCATTGAATTGGTCGTCCATGGGAAAATATTATGCCTCAATGGATCATCAGACCACTTTGTTGTTTCCTTCTTTTGGTTAAAGTCACAGAAAAGCAACAGATTTTACACTTGGTCTAAGAGATATTCAATATATTGTATCATCCTGCTCTTTTAACCATTAAATTTCAATTTTTTCTACCCGATGCTCAAAATGAGTAAAGGGGTGTATAAGATTTGTGGGGAAAATGGATGTGTGTAACGTCTGGGTCCGCATCAATAGCCGATTCGATTGAGCCATGTCTGTCTGTCCGTCTGTTCGTTCCTATGAGTGCCTAGTTCTCAGAGACTATTAGTGCTAGAGCCACGAAATTATGTATCCAGACTCTGTGATATTTTACTGTTACAAGTTTATTTCAAAATGTTGCCCCACCGCCTTTTGACGCAAATCTGTGACGTCCACAATTATAAGATACGAGATTGGGAACAAATCAATTTGCAGTGGCTATATAGCG